ACCCATTTCGGCGCACACCTCAGACGGATCGTAGCCCAAAGGGAGTCCTACTTGCGGCCCCAGAGGGAGGGTCCGCATGGCGCTCCCCCGCCCAATGTGGCGCACCCCTCACGTCGATCGCGGTCCGAATGGAGCTCCATCTATGGCGCCAGTAGGCAATGTGGCATGGCCCCCCCACCCAGCGCACCCCTCACGCGGATCGTGCCCCACAGGGGGCTCCACCCACGGCTTCGGAGGGTGCGTTCGCGTGGGGGCCGTTTGATTCAGATCTTGCCGCGTAGCGGGCTCAGCGCGCATTTGTGCGCCAGCCCCGCCCCCACACCTGCAGTGGATTAGCCTGTCGATGGGCCCAAACCCTATGCAGCTGCGCGTCGCGCCGGGCGGGGTCATCTCTTCATGCGATGCGCGCCGCGGGGCATTGCGGGCACGGTGAGGACATTGGATAAGGAACCTTCGGATAAGGAATCCCAGGTGTGAAAATCCGGGGGAGCACCAATTGAGGCTTGGACATGGATATCGCCGCCACCTTTCTCAGACCAAGGATACTGCAAGATCTGAGACCTCCTGGGCACAGTCCAAGCCAACGCCCCCACCGAAGGAGGCTGCGGAGCGAACAGGCAGAGGAGCGCCGAATTCCCCGTGGCACGATCTTCGTGCGGGGTGCGCGCCGCGGCGGACACCCGCGTGCGAACGCGCCAGTTGAGCCCGAATGGGCAGGGGGGGCGCCGTGCGAACGCGCCAGTTGAGCCGAAATGGGCGGGGGGGCGCCGTGCGGACGCGCCAGCTGAGGAGGCAGATGGAGCTCCTTGTGGGGCACGGTCCGTGCCAGCCGGGTGCCGCACCGGGCGTGGGCCCGCATGCGAACACCTCCGTTGGTGCCGCAGGCGCGGCTCCTTGTGGGGCACGGTCCCCGCCAGCCGGGTGCCGCAACGGGCGTCGAAATGGGGAGAAGGAGCGGGGAAGGAGACGCAAAGGCCAGGTGGGGGAGGAGGCGAGGTGAGGTGAGGAGAGGACGCGGGGCGCTTCGGAGTCAAAACCGGGCTGCAACGACACAGGACGATCGGAGGAAAAACAGTGGAGGGTTGGGAATGAAAAGAGGGACACGCCCTTCGCTGCACGCAGCTGCACTGGGTTTGATCAATCGCCAACCTATGTTATGTCAGTTCCAGATCGAAACACTCGAAATAACTACGCGTAAGGTGCCAGCCTATGTATCAAGGAGCCACGGCCCAAGCTGATCTTAGCGGCGTGTTGTGGGTGGATGGTTTCACCGCCACTTCTCCGCGGCATTAGTATGCGGAGGCGAGGGGGGAAATGAACAATAGGAGTAGGATCACGAGCGACGTACGAGGAAGAGCAGGTGGCAGAGGCGTATGGGGAGGAGGACAAGGACGACATGATGAGGATGAAGGTCAGGATCAGCGTAAGCAGGAACTTACACGATGTTGCGTGTCTCACCCTCTGCAGTTCAATTGTTGAGTGATGGGCTCATGTGTCGGTAGGATGCGTGCGTGTTTGATACATGTTCATTATGGACGGACATTGTTGCACAATGACCAGGTGATGAACTACATGCTTTCAGCACTTGCGGGCGGTCTTACTGCCAGAGAGAACCACAGGCATTTCTCTTGTCGTCTTCCAGTTGCGTCCCAAATTCTCGACTGCATCTCACAGTGAACGCGTGTTTTTGGCACTCGCATGGCCTACTCGCCCGACTGTTTGTTTCATTTCTTTCTCTGCCATATATACACGCATTTGAACACATACCAGAAACCTGGCCCTGGAGGCGCCGGGGCAGCAGCTCCCCAGGGTCCCCTAGGGGGCCCTCTCCACTCCCGGAGCCTCCCTGGAGCCTTCCCGGGGCTGCCCCAGGGGGCTCCCAGAGCTTTGCAGAATGAGAGGGCCCAAGACGGTCCCAATAGGCCCCCAGGCTCCCCCCGGGAGGCTCCCAGCGCCACAAATGGGCCCCAAGTGCCCTCCCCTTCTTTCCTCCCGTTCGCCATCCTTTCCGCCCACATCCTTCTACCCCTCCTCCGTCTCCACATCCCCCCTCTTCTCCTCATCCTTCTCTTCTTCTTAGTATCAGTGTTAGTGGTATTAGCAGTAGTTCTCTTGTTAGTTTACTATGATTATTGCTCTGAACGCTTTATGTTTAATAGTAATAGCATTACTCATATGATCACTAATGTTAACAGGCGTATTCGCATTATGTGTTGTAGTATGATCATGTTTCTTAAGTTTATGTTTTTCGTCTTATGATTCTTCTGAGTGTTAGTATTATCACTCGTATTCTTATAATTACTACTAGTACCATCATCATTATTATTACCCTTCGTCCTATTCGTAGTCGTATTTTCTTCCTGCTATTATTATTCCTCTTCCTCTTCCTCTTCCTCCTCCTCCTCCTCCTCATCCTCATCCTCATCCCCCTCCCCCTCCTCCTCCTCCTCCTCCTCATCATCCTCCTCCTCCTCCTCCTCCTCCTCATCCCCTGAGCATCCTGATTGAATCGCTTCATCCCGCTGGCTCAGAGTCCTCGGGGATGCTTCTTGGGGTCCCTTCGGAGCGCTCTCCGGGGCTTCTGGAGGGCCACTGACCTTTTTGGAAGGCTTATCTAATGGCCTTGGGCCCATTCCGCCACCGACCGGTGGCGGAGTCTGGTCGGCCAGAGCAGAAAAGCTCGTGGCCCTTGGGTTGTTGAGTCTCTTCGGAGAACTTTGGAGAGCTCCTGGGGACCAGGCTTGAGGCCTCTCGGGAGCCTCTTGGGCGCCTCCTGGGGCCTCTTGGGGGCCTCTTGGAGGCTCCCTGGGGGCCTCGCGCCAAGGGGGGCCTGTTGGGGCCTCTTGGGGGGGCCTCGTGGGTCCTGAGGGTCCTCTGAAGGCCGAGGGCTTGAAACGTCGTTTCGTGTTCTCCCTCTGGAGCCTCTCTTAGGGCGTTCTCGCGGCCCTCTAAGGCCATCTTGGAAGCCTCCTGGGCCGTCTTGAAGCCCTCTTGGGCTGTCTTGGAGCCCGCTTGGGGGCCTCTTGGGCCGTCTCGGGGCGATCTTGGAGGTCTCGTAGGCCGTCTTTGAGCGTCGGGAAGCCGCAAAGGCGAGAACGCCAGAATCCTTCAAAAACCGACAGGAAATCTATGAATTTTACTTTTTCGGGCCCTCTAGGGAGTGCTCTTGGAGGGCTACTGGGCCGTCTGGGGGGCCATCTTGGGCGTCTTGGGGCGATCTTGTGGTGTCCTGGACGCCTCTTGGACCATCTTGAGGGCCTCTTGGGGGCCTCTTGGCCCTTCTCGAGGCTTGATGGGGGGGCCCGAGGGCGGCGCCCAGGAGCAAAACCATCCCTGATGGGACCTTGCCGGGATATTTGTCGGCCGGAGACCCCCAGGGGCGGCCCCGCGCGCGTGCGAACTAGAAAACTCTGAACCACCAGAGATCTCAGCACGCCTCTGGCCCGTTGGGCCGGCGAATTTTCATCCTCACCGTCTTCCCTCCTCCTCCTCCTCCTCCTCCTCCTCCTGATCCTGGTCCCGCAGGGGCGTGACGGAAAGGAAGGAGCATGAACCAGCGAAGAGGAAACGAGGAAGCAATGGAGGCAGTGAGGAGGAGGAGGAGGAGGAGAAGAAGGAGGAGGAGGAGGAGAAAGGAGAAGAGGAGCAGCCGTGGTTTACACTCAGAACGAGTGCCCAACCAAAGGAGCTTTGAGAAAATTATCCCAGTGCGACCCTACTTAGGAGTTGGAGCCTCTAGGCAAGCAACATTAGTAGGAGCGGTAAACGCCGTCCTCCTCCTTCTCCTCATCGTCGTAGTTGTAGCAGTAGCGGTACACACACACACACACACACACACACACACACACATACACACACACACACACATAAGTACATATATATATATCTAGCAGCAGCAGTAGTGGATGTTGTGCTGCGCTATGCTCTGCTATGCTAATGCTATGCTATGCTATGTTATGCTATGCTATGCTATGATATGCTATGCTATGCTGCGCAATGCTATGCTGGGCTAGGTTAGGCTATGCTATGCTATGCTATGCTATGCTGCGCTATGCTATGCTGCGCTATGCTATGCTATGCTATGCTATGCTATGCTATGCTTTTGGTTTGCCTTCGCTTTTGCCTTCACTTTTGCCTTTGCTTTTGCTTGGCACCCAGGGAGCGCAACTGGGGGAACCGCGCGTTTACTTTTACCTTTGCTGTTGCTTCTGCTTGGCTCCCAGGGGACCGGGGGAACCGCCCGGGGCGCTTTCCACTGCCCGGCCCCTATAAGCAAACAAAGTAAGAACCCTTCTAGGCAGAGCCTAGGTAGGGAACAAACGACCAGAACGGTGTCCTTGAGGGAACTGGGCATCGATGTTGAAACGTTGAGCGGGTTCTGATCGAGAGGGGCACAAGTGATCCCATGTACGCCAAGGCGCGTGAACAAGCAGGCATTCACAGATAACCCTCCACCTAATTATCTCCCGGATGTGTTTGTTGGGTATGGGGGGTGATCCACGATTACCAGCGCTAGTTGCCGCCGAACTTTTCGTGCGCTTGTGTGGTCCTCGTCATTGTTTGATGCTGTTTGGGATAGTTTGCATGTCCACTGTGTGCGGGAATGTTGAAGCTGTTCGCCCACTACGAGGCGTGCTGGCCGAAAGTGATCAAACGACTTGGCTTCACGGGCACTATTTGTGGCGATTGGTTTAAAGACTTGCGTACTGCGCTTGGCGCGTTATTGGGTGATGTTGCAGTGGTTCAGTCGGTCGTTTGTGCTCATGCTCCTATGGAGCATCTCGTCTGAGAACTGAGATGCAACCGAATTCGAGCCACATTCGAAGACCAAGTTGTTGTTACAGACCAATCCGGTTGAGAGGTTGAGCAGATTTGATGAGTTGATATTCGAATTGCACCCATCGGGTCGAATCATCCTCTCTCGCCCCCCCCCTCAGATGAGCTGGGAGCAGGAGAAAGTGAAGGAGGAGGTGCGCGGGAAGTTAGGAAGGGAAGAGTGTGAGAGAGGAGGAAGTTGGCGGATGAAAGCGCACCAGGGAGAGAAATAGTCGTGGGCCAAATTGAAAACCAGAAGTTTTGTGGCACTCGTCTTTCGGCTGCCCCAGACCGTCTTACCCGAGCCACTTCCCGCCAGAAGTGCGAACAGATTGGGCGACCATCTGACTCGCACATGACAGTGCCCGTCTGCTTGGCTGTACGAGTCCGCCCCTGTGCTGCGGAGTGGTGGTCGGTGGAGTCGCCCGGTATCGGCGAAGAGCCGCCCGGATGCCACGCCAAGGTCTAAGAGTCGCAGGCCACAGGCGGGTGCATTTCAGCGATAGGCAATAGGACGTCATGGCAGAATGTGTCGGTAGTAGATTGCTTCGAGTGTTTCTGGACATATCGTCATATACCTATATGCATACATGCGTACATACATGTGTGCAGGCAAAGACAGGTTTGCATACACACACACATATATATATATGTGTGTAGCTGTGTGTACGCTGCATGCTTTCTTTCTCTATATCTATGCATATCCATCAATATCACTCTCTATATGTACGTGTATATGTATCGTTCCCTTGTTTTCTTAGTTTCTCTCTCTCTCTCTCTTTCTCTCCCAGCATTATCTTCTGTGCCCACCGCTTGGAACAGTGCAACCCTTGCACCGAAAGGACAGAGGGAGAACACGAGTTTCACATGTTGGCTAAAACGATGGTGATGAAGTTCGTGATCACGTATTTCGCCTTGTACTACATTGCTTTTTTCAAGGACCACCACTATCTGTCGCGGGCTCGGTCTTGCAACGTGCGCGCGCATCCAACCATCATCATCAACGCACCGCTGGCATAGTGCAAGGCCCCTTGTTTAACCTTGCTGCATCAGCAAATCCCCAACAACACCCCAATTTTAAACGGAGCATCCCCGCCCTCCACTCGAGCCGACTTCACCCTAACGTGATATGGATATGTTACCATCGACCCTTGCAATAAGTGCAGATTGGCGGAGTGGGGAGTGCCGGCTGAGCTGTTTCATTTCGAAATAGCGACGATATCGTACACCAGGTCCCCCCCCTTTTGCAGGACATGCTTCTCTTCCCAGCCAAAAAGTACAGAGCGCCCACTCAATGCACACGTCTCGAGAACGAGTTGGCCAGGATAAGAGGCACAATCACACGTGCTCAGAAAGTGTTCTACTGGCTTGGTACACTGATTCTCTGCAAAAGGAGGTAGAATTCCCGCACACACACAGTACATACATACACATACACACCGCCTTCGCGTCCGTTGCGTCACACTTGCAGCGGGCTGTGGCAAAGGAAGGAGCGCGTCATCAGGCACCCGCTTGACAGGAGCAACGACTACAATTTCGACTGAAACGACCGCTCGTGAGATCGAGATTGGTATGGACACGTCGATCTCGATATTGCCACGCGTGCTTGTCAGATATTGACCGCCACCAGGGCCAGCGCGTAATGCTCCAGTTGCCGACAGCGCGTAGAACGACCAAAAAGGGGCCCTTTAGAGACCTTGAAGTGGCCTTTCAGGGCCCAGAAGGGGCCTCCTCCTCCTCCTCCTCCTTCTTCTCCTTCTCCTCCTCCTCCTTCTCCTTCTCCTCCTCCTCCTCCTCCTCCTCCTCCTCCTCCTCCCTCCTCCTCCGCCTCCGCCTGGAAAACGTACCTTCCTTCCCCCCCCCCAATTCTCGCCCCCACATTGAGCGACACCCAAGGCTCCCCTGCAGTCTTAGCTTCGTTGGTTCCCGCAGTGCCATCGTTCATGCATCTGCTCGCTCCGCTGGCACGTCTCGGTGGAAAGCCGGAGACCACCCACCACACCGCCGGCCCTGGCCAGGTCCACCTTGAGACGTGGATATTGTGCACACCCTCCTGGCCCAGCTGAGGAGGGTCTCCGGCAGACGACGACGACGACGACGACGAAGCAGTCGTCGACGACGACGACGACGACGACGACGACGACGACGATGACGATGATAAAGCAGTCGTCGACGACGACGACGGCCCAGAAGTGGCACAGCCAGGTCTGGTGGTGTACAGCTGCGGGCGCCCATGGATAGGGACGGCCGGGACGGCCGTTGCGGCAGCACGCAGCCGAGGTTTGGAGTACCAATGACTTGCTTGAGGGGCGACTGCTTCTCGGACCTGCAGTCGCAGCTTGCGGCCTTTGTGTTCTTCCGCCTGGTGCGGAGGGGCAAGCGCAGCCTCTGACGCAACCCAGTACTCATGCCAAGAGAGCGTTTTGCATTCCCGGGCGATTACGGGCGTCACAGGGAGGGGGATCGCGCTGAGGGCGTTGGTAGCGTCATGTTTCGCGCCAGCGCTTCGGATAGCAGATACCTATAGGGATTTGTTACGGCAGAGCGGGCATACCTGCTAGGATCTGCTACGGCAAAGTGCCTTCCTTCTCCTTCTCCTCCTATTCCTCGTTCCTCCCTCACCCCTTCTCCTTCTCCCTCCCCATGTCGTCGTCGTCGTCGTAATCGTGTTTTTCCTCGCTGGGAAAATCAACAAAACAAGACGTTTGTCATTTGCGCTTCTGACCAGGAAGTTGTATACACATGACGTGGCTAGTCTGCACGAGAGTTGGATGCACATCTGGTCGCATACCTTCCCAGGGTTCGGCAATCGTGTGGAAAAATACGCCAATCATCCGCACGTGTATCCAGCAACTGGCCTCCGCATTCTCCGCATGTGATTCCAGCCACGTGTGTTTCCAGCGTCCTGGATGTTTTAAGACCCCCAACTTGAGACTCTCTATCGTGATCTTACCATTCATACACCAGAATACGGCACGCTGATGGTAAGGTCGAGCGGGAAGTGGCACGCGTGAACTCGTGGGCCCACGCCATTCCGCACACCTTCAATACGCCCCAGCGACGTGGTGAGCACGTTGTTGCAGATTGAGGCCGTCTGCAACGCAATAGGGAGGAATCGGACGACAAGACGAGAAGCATCAGGAAGTACAAGGGGAGGACGACGACAACGACGAGGCGACCTCCCCCTTCGGGCCCAGGGACGCCCAGACCCTTCCCAGAGCGCGAGCCGATAACAGACGTATGATGAAACAAGTGGTCTCGGCGTGGCCCCGCCTGCCTCGCCCCCTCCCTCCTTTCGATTATGTGTTTCTTTCTTCCTGTCATTGTGCGAGGCACCTCACAATGCAATGAGGAGGAGGAGGAGGACGACGACGACGACGACGAGAAGAGGAACGAGGGGAGGAGAAAGCGGAAGAGGGAAGGGAGAGGATAGAGCAAAACCATTTTCTATCTTCGACAAACCGTTGCGCTGCGCTGAGCTGCCCGTGTAGCTGTCCATCGCAGGTTCTTACATCTGGAGGCGCGCGCTCTGCCACAGCAGATCCCAGCAGGCACCTGGTGTTCGTGCTTTCTCGGCTAGCTCTACGAATCGTGAGATTACCAAGGCAGGGGGCGGGGGTGGTAATGACCGCTATCGCGAATCCATACATATATATATATATATACACAGCCAAAACCAACCACAACAAAACCACCGCTTTGAAACAAACAGCGACCTCAAAATCTCCAGCTCATGATTATCCAGCCCTTCCTGTTCCTCCTCCTCCTCCCCCTCCTCATCCTTCCTCTCCTGATCATCATCATCATCATCATCATCCTCCTCCTCCTCATCCTCCTCCTCATCCTCATCCTCATCATCATCCTCATCATCCTCATCATCTTCATCATCCTCATCCTCATCCTCATCCTCATCCTCATCCTCCTCATCATCATCATCCATTTGCTTCTTACTCCCCCCTCTCATATCCTCCCTTCCCTTCCCATTATTCCTCCATGATTCCTCCTCTCGTCGCTCCTCCGCCCTGCTCCTTCGTGCTCCCTCCATCCATCATACCTCATCCTCGGTTGTCCCCCTCTCTCCTCAGCCCTCCTCCTCCGCCTCGCTCGTCCTCCTCGTAATCCGCCTTATGCTTATTTACCTCTTCCTTTTCCTCCCTATCATCCCCCTCGCTCCTCTTCCTCACGGAAAAGGAGCGCCTGTAGCATCGGTGCCAAGCCCCACCCCGTATTGTTTGGGCGCGCTTTCTTTGTTACATGATCAACCCCGAGGCCTTCACAATCACCACGGGGAGCGCACCAGGTCTAAACAAAATGTTCGGGGGATACACGACCACTTATTTGGAGATGAACTAATTGGAGTTTTGGACCAGCAAAAGAGTGAGCAGGAACGGCTCCCATCATGAAGGGCGAGGCGAAGCGGTGGCCCTCCTCAAGGCCAAGATCCCTCCCATGCGCCCTCGCACCAGGACAAGGCATCCTGCCATCGACTTGTGAACGAGGGTAGCGTCATTTCTCGAAGAGATGGCGTGGTGACTCCAGTACAGGGGAAGGTGGCGGTGCACTGCCCTACTGTGGACGTGTATTGAGGCGCCAGGTTCTCGTGTCATTCTCGACTGTTGCCTTCTCCGTCACAGAAGCGGCGCTGCAGCTGGCGCAGGCAGTTCAGATTGTTGAGTAGGGTGATCAGCCAAACGATCAGTCAGCACATTGAAGCCGAAGCAAAGATTGCCAGCACGCTGCAGCGAGTTGCGTGCCATGCCAAGCAGTTGCGGGAGCGGGCGACAGAGCATTACGTTTCGGCACATGGACATACGAATGTCATGCCCAAGTTTGTGGAAAAGTTCAAAAAAAGTTGCCCCATCCGCGAACCCATTCGGAGATGACTCCAGCGCGTGCAAACTCTGGACTCCGCCGCAGAACAGGTGCAGGCGGCCCCGCTCGAGTCCCCCCTGGGGCTGCTGCTCGAGCCTCCCCCCCGCCGTCTGCAGAGCGGCACAGGCGGACGGAAGGCGGCGCGGCCAAGTGCATCGACCATGTTGGCATCGAATAAATGCGAAAGCCTTACGGCTGGCGCCGCCGACCCTGAAGGCCGCACCTCCCCCAGGACCCCCGCTGGCACCCCCCTCTGGGACCCGGAGGGATCCCCGCGGGGGCGGCGTTCTGACTTGAGACCACCCCCACCCACCACGGGCGGGACTTGCCCCGGGACCCCCGCTGGCGACCCCCCCGGAGGAGGATGTCCCCTTATCCCCCTGTCCACAGGGGACCCCCCCCCCCCGGGGAGGCGCAGCGGCGCTGCTGTTCGCCGCATCTCATTTTCATCCACCGCACTGGCGGTTGTCTGCTGTGTCACCATTCCACTGGGTGCTCACTCCCCCGCGCATTGCCTTCGACGATCCGATGACAATCCCTGACGGACCAGAGCCCTCGCACTTCCTCATCCGCGAAGTGCGAGCGGCCTCCCCAAACCTCGGGCGTCCGAGGCACCCGAATCCCCCGGGGTGGGTGCAAGCCCCCTCCGTGTTGTGGGGGTGGCATGGCCCTTGCGTTTCCCCTGCTTTCTCCTGGCCGCCTCAATGGCTGCGCCCTCGGGCGGCGCGGACGAGGCGGTTGGGAGGGATCTGAGGGCGGCCGTGCACCCTGGCCACGGCCGCTGGGGTCTGGGTCCTTCCACCCTTCCAGGGCGAGGCGTTATTCCACCCCCCGATGCGGGGGCGCCGTCTGTGCGCGTTTAACAGTTTTCCCTGATTCACGCCCCGCATGGCGCCTGGCACGCTGTCCATGGTTCGGCGTGCGCACGCGTAGGGGTCGCCGTGCGCGCGGCATTGCAAGCTGCAGATGCCAGCACGCCAACGTTGGATAGGTAAGATGCAGCCCGTCTTGTTCGCGGCGTCGCCTCGTCGCCGGGGGGGGCCTTGTCTCGGGGGGCCTGTTTACATGGGCTACGCTCTGACCCGAATCGAGCTATGGCGGGCTGGTGCTACGTAGCCCTTGCCGCCCTGGACACGCGTGTCCGTCCATCTGGGTGTGAGTGCGTAAGTGTGGGTATGGGTTTGGGTGTGGGTATGGGTATGGGTGTGGGTATTGTAGGGGCCTCCTGGGTGACCTCTGGGAACTTTTGGAGGTCTTGGGCCCATCGGGGCGGGGAGGCGAAGGCGGATGCCCAACCATATTCCTGGGGCCTGTTCGAAGGCTTCCTGTGGGGCCCCTGCTGACGACGACGACTACGACGACGGCGACGACGACGACGACGACGACGGCGACAACGACGACCACGACGACGGCGACGACGACGACGACGACGACGACTGCGACTACGACAACGACGACATCGACGACGACGACGACGACGACGACGACAACGGCGACGACGGCGACGACGACGACGGCGACGACGGCGACGACGACGGCGGCGGCGTCGGCGACGGCGGCGGCGGCCCCGCCTCCGCTTGCTCACTGGCTCCCAGTGCTAAGTTCGCATTGCAGCGACCCAGCCTACGCTGCCCTCGAAAAATGATGCAACTTGAATCGTCGATGTGTTTGTTCTGGTTGCCTCTGGATTTTCGTCGGTTTCGGCATCCTCAAGCCTTTCTCTTGCCCCGGGACCGTCAGAAACGGACGGGGGATGAAAAACTGCCCCCAGGAAAATCTCCCAGACGACGCTTCGAAACGACTTGCAAAGGTTGCATTAGCTTTTGACCACGCCGCGCGATCTCCGGCGCCGCGACAATAAAAAAATGCCCATGCGCTCGATGTCCTGAGCTGGCCCCCCAGGTCCCCCAGGACGGCCCGAGGGACTTCAAGAGAAGGGTTCTTGGCGGGTCCCTGGGCCCATCGCGGGGCATGTCGGAGCCTGGGGTTCCCAGCCGCGGCCAGGGATCTCGGGAAAAGCTGCGCGGAGATGTGTCTGGAAGCACGGGAGCCCCCAGGAACATGCGTGAGCTGAGGGTCCGCGGCTTTCCATGATTTAACAACGTTCACCCTGCGACCTGGAAGGTTCGCTTAGCGCGTCGCTCCGCCAATTCTGGCCCCTTTTCCACGCTTCAGCACGACACGCTAGCCACGCTCCCGTCCCCGAATGTCAACGTTGCAAGCTTTTCCCAGCTTCCGCCCCACGGAGCGGAGTGACACGCTGTCCGCCTGCAGGTCACGGCGTGTCGCAGGGGCCGTCGCCGCGACACGATCAGCAGCAGCTCTTGGCCGCAAGGTGTTCATGTGGACCTTCTGGTACTTAACCATAAAGGACGCGAGGGCATTACATGTTGTGCCGTGCGCAAAGTGGCATGAGCCTACTTATATACGCACATACAGATCCCTCTTTCTCTCACTCTGTGCCTCCCTCATGAGCGCTGTTTTGGGAGCAAGCCGCTTCATCGGGCCTCTTCAGCCCGAGGGATGGCCGCGGCCGAACGAACGGCTCACTTGCCTCTAAGTCTTACATGTTGCGTGCCATGCCCCTCCTGAGTCCCTTCCTCCGCCGCCTCCTCCTATCCTGTTTATCCTGCCTCGCGTTCGTGGCCCCCCTCCCCGGCCAACCTGCCGATCTGCTCTCTTATGAATATCAGTCTTCTCTTCCCTGCGCGGAGGGAGGTGATGGCCAATGCCGTGGAGTTCCTGTATCCCCGCGTCGCGGGCGCCGTCCGCAGCGGTATGCAACGGTCCCCTGGCTTTTGCGTCTTTCTGAGGACATCGTTGCTCCCTCTCCCCCCATTCGATCCCTCGTCGCCTCGTGCTGTCCCCCACCCCCCATTATTTTTCCAGTCTCATTTTCGTCCGCCCACTATTGTTGAGCTCGCAAGGTCCCCCGAACATATATGCACATAGTATTTGCTTTCAAGTTTGCAAATGTTTTTGTTTCCGTGTGTGTACCTTCTGTCCCTGGTGTCATATGTACATACGCGTGCGTCGCCCCTTTTATCGTTCTAGATGTTGTCTCTTTATATATCTCTATTTCTCTCTCTGTCTCGTGTTCTTTATATATATATATATATATATATATATATATATATATATATATATGCACACACACACCCCCCAAGATCCCTATTTTCCGTGCTCTGTTCTGCTTTCCTCTCTTCGTCCTCCTCCTCTTTCTCATCCTCCTCCTTTCCCCCCCCCATCCTCTCCCCTCATACTTTCTCCTCCTTTTGCTCTATTCATATCTCTCTGGTCTTCCTCCTCCTCCTCCTCGTTCTCATCCCTGTCCTATCTTTCTGTTTCTGTACTTCCTGGATTAATCCAGGGCTCGGCGGTTTAATCCACCTCTCCTTCCTCCCTCCTCCCTTCCCTCCTCCTAGAGAGGGGAAGCACACTCGGTGCCCTTCCGCCAATCCGTTTCGGCGTCCAGGGACCGCTTTCGGGCCCCAGAACCATCAAAAACGACCCAGAGCGAAAAACCATCCCAAGGAAAAGGGTGTGGATCTCTGGGGCCGCGGATTTCTTCATGGCTCCAGGCGATTCCCCTTTTCCTACTCCTCCTCCGCCTTCAACTTCTCCCCCCCGCCCTCCTCCTACTCGCCCCACCCTGTCCGTAGCCATCATCGGCTCAAGTTGCCCCCGCGCGGGCTGATCCGAAGATTTGTGTCGAAGTCTTACAGCAGGTATGAACACCTCGATTGCGGTATCTGGTCGTGTTGTGTTGACCCGTGATGGTAAACGGGCGCGCCTGGATTTGAGCGTTTGCAATCCGTCAGAACCCTCGGGCTCGGCAGCTGCTGACATCATCCGCCTCTTGGAGCCGGCTGCCCCTTCGGGGCCGCCCGTTGCCCCCGTGCCGATCGCGGACCGCGTCCGCCCGCGCGCTGTGGATGTTATTGGTGACGTGAACGCAGGGCGCTTGACCGTGCACCCGTCGAAGACCGACCTCTTACTGAAGGAGGTGAACAACCAGATGAATTACATACAGGCGTCTTGCGGAATGCAGCGCCGCCAGGAAGGCCAATGGAGTGAAGCAGCCCAGAACAAGCTCGTCGCCTGGCTCAACAAGCGCAGGCAAAAGGGAAAGGTCCCTGACGGCCCCCCTGCACGTGAGGCGCCCCCCGCCCTGGCACTCATGGACGGCGTCGTGGGCGACGAGGGCGGCGAGGGCGACGACGAGGGCGGCAAGGGCGACAATGAGGGTGGCGAGAACGACGGCTCGAAGAAGGACGAGGGCGAGGACGAGGAGGAGGAGGGCGAGGAGAGCTCGAAGGACAAGGACAGCGACTCGGAGAACACCTCGGAGGACGAGGACAAGGGCTCGGAGGACACCGAGGGGGCCGAGGACAAGGGCTCGGAGGACACCGAGGGCGAGGGCAAGGGCTCGGAGGACAGCTCAAAGGGCGAGGGCGGCTCGGAGCACGAGAACTACGCGGAGGTTGGGGCCCCGATGGACGAGTTCGAGGAACTGTTCGCCAGGTGCGCGGATGCCGAGGCAGAGTGTTGCCGCCTCACCAAGGAGAACAAGGAGCTCAAGATGCACGAGGCAGAGTGCTGCCGCCTCACCAAGGAGAACGAGGACCTCAAGATGTATATCGAGCGCATGTCCCAGCATTGGGCAGACAGCTCGGATTCCGAGTGAGATTGCTTCTGCCTAGAAACGAACGCGGTGGTCACGAAAAAGGGGTCCGGAGGCGCAAAACTAAATAGGAAGGAGCTCTTGAGAAGAGCTCGGAAGATGTAGCAATAGCTAGTAACAGCAAAACATATCAAGGAATATAGATGTTGTTATAGTTTGGAACAGCTCCTCCCCCCGCTGGATTAATCCAGGGCCGCTGGGATCAAAGCTGAGATTCTTCTGCCTAGAAACGAACGCGGTGGTCACGAAAAAGGGGTCCGGAGGCGCAAAACCAAATAGGAAGGAGCTCTTGAGAAGAGCTCGGAAGATGTAGCAATAGCTAGGAACAGCAAAATAGATCAAGGAATATAGATGTTGCTATAGTTTGGAACAGCTCCTCCCCCCGCTGGATTAATCCAGGGCCGTTGGGATCAAAGCGTTTCCTGTTTTCTGTCGCGCGAGAAATTCAGGTACTTGGACGGTCGTTTCGAGAACCGCCGCTGCCCCGCCGCATCCAAGCTTCACTACGCCTTGAGCTCTGCGGAGGATTCCATCTTGTCTGACTTAGAGACGGAGGTGACCTCTGTGGACGGCGTGACCGTCAACACTTACATGTTTGATGGCGCTGCGTTCTTGATGCCCGAGGATGCCATGGACGACCTCCGCGCGGCGGTGAAAACCGTCGCTGACAAGTGGGGCTTGTCGATGTCTGTGGTGACGATCGATGGCGACGATGCGTAAGTAGGTCGGCTGTGAGCGATGCACGGGCCAACGGCATATTCGGATAACTGTCTCTTTGGACTTACGTGTAAATAGTGGAAGGCGTTAGCGGCTGGAGGCCGCGCAACATTATATGAGCCCGTTCGTGTTCATGCTGCTGACTATGCTATGTAGATGTCCAAGAGGTGCCATGCAGATTCCACGAGGGGTGTATTTCAGCCATTCGATATGGTTCGTCCTTGTTGCACGTTGGGGGTTCCGACCCAGCCTGCAGCTGCTTTGTTCGTTCTCGAACTCGCCGAAGCGATTGAAAAAACATCAAAAAAAAAAAAAAAAAAAAAAAAAAAAAAAAAAAAAAAAAAAAAAAAAAAAAAAAAAAAAAAAAAAAAAAAAAAAAAAAAAAAAAAAACTTCCCTCCTCTCCTCCACGCTCCCCTGCTCTGCCGCTTTTCCTCCTCCTTCTCCTCCCCCTCCTCCCTCCCTTGTGTTCCTCCTCTTCCGCTGGCGGAACTTTTTTTTCTTTTTTTCCTCCTCCCGCTTTCGGAGGCAGAGTTTTTTCCTTTTTTCCATGTGAAAACACAGTTGTTTCCCTTATTTTTCCTTTTTTTCCTCTTTTTCGGTCTTTCCCCTGGGACGGCGGAGAAATTCGGAGGACCGAGCGAGGCAGGGAAAAGAGCAAAAAAAAGGAAAAATAAGGAAAAACTTATGTTTTCACCGGGAAAAAAAGGAAAAAAACTCTGCCTCCGAGGGCGGGAGGAGGAAAAAAAGGAAAAAACTTTCCGCCCGCGGAAGAGGAGGAAAGGGAGATGGACGGAGGAGGAGGAGGAGGACGACGACGACGACGACGGGGAGGAGGAGGAGGAGGAGGAGGACGACGAGGAGGAACAGGGAGAGACGGATTTTTCCTCTTTTTCCTCCTCCGGCCTTGGGGCGCGGAGATGTTTTCCTTTTTTCCATGTGAAAACACAGGTTTTTTCTTATTTTTCTTTTTTTCCTCTTTTCCCTGCTTCGTTCGGGCCCTCCAGATTTTTCCGCCGCCCCAGGGGAAAGACCGAAAAAGAGGAAAAAATGAAAAATATGGAAAAACCTGTGTTTTCACATGGAAAAAGAGGAAAAAAACATTGCCTCCGAGGGCGGGAGGAGGAAAAAAAGGAAAAAAAAGTTCCGCCTGCGGAAGAGGAGGAAAACGAGGGAAGGAGGAGGAAGCTGAAAGGAGAAGGAAGGAGGAGGAGGAGGGAGAGGAGGAGGAAGCAACATGGGGATCTTGGGGGGGGTGCGACCATATATATATATATATATATATATATATATATATATACATATATACATATATACATATATATATATATATATCGCCCTCTTTCTCTATCTATCCCGGTCGTTATCTATTGTTCTCTCTCTCTCTCTCTTTGTTCCTCTCTCTCTTTCTGTCCCCTCGCTGTGTCTATGTATATGTTTGTATATGTATATCTCTCTCTCGCTCTCTCTCTCTCTCTCTCTCTCCCTCTGTATATATATGTGTATATATATATATGTCTCTCTCGTCCTCTGAGTATCATTCCCTCTCTCTCTCTTCTCTCTCTCTCTCTCTCTCTCTCTCTGCGCCCGGGGGTGGTTGTACCAACGTCGCCCGTACCCCAAGGTGCGCACCACCGCTTAGCGTGCACTGGTGGCCTTGGCTACCGAAGCAGCCAGCTGCGACGGAACGCCCGTCTGCTTGTCCGAGATTTGTTTGTTGCTATTTCTCGTTCTTTTTCTCTCTCTCTCTCTCTTTCTCTCCCTTTCTCGCTCACTCTCTCTGCTATGTACAGATACGCTTGACTATATACATATATATATATATGTACCGATAGCTATGCGTATATACGTGTGTGTGTGTGTGCGTGTGTGCGCGTGTGTGTGTGTGTGTGTGTGTGTGTGTGTGTGTGTGTGTGTGTTGTTGTTGTGTGGTTGTTGTGTGGTTGTTGTGTGGTTGTTGTGTGGTTGTTGTGTGGTTGTTGTGTGGTTGTTGTGTGTGTGTTGTGTGTGTTGTGTGTGTTGTGTGTGTGTTGTGTGTGTTGTGTGTGTGTTGTGTGTCGTGTCGTGTCGTGTCGTGTCGTGTCGTGTCGTGTCGTGTCGTGTCGTGTCGTGTCGTGTCGTGTCGTGTCGTGTCGTGTCGTGTCGTGTCGTGTCGTGTCGTGTCGTGTCGTGTCGTGTCGTGCCGTGTCGTGCCGTGCCGTGCCGTGCCGTGCCGTGCCGTGCCGTGCCGTGCCGTGCCGTGCCGTGCCGTGCCGTGCCGAGCCGTGCCGTGCCGTGCCGTGCCGTGCCGTGCCGTGCCGTGCCGTGCCGTGCCGTGTGCCGTGCCGTGCGTGTGCCGTGCCGTGCCGTGCCGTGCCGTGCCGTGCCGTGCCGTGCCGTGCCGTGCCGCCGTGCCGTGCCGTGCCGTGCGTGC